CATTATCTAAGGTGATAGTTAAAACTTTATCAATGAGTCCATAAAAATTAAGTATTTGTAGAATAGTAGTTGCAATATATGCTCTAGTGTGTTTTGAATCAATAAATTTATAACCAATAATACGTTTTTGCATGTTCAAGTGATGATCAACCCAATGACATGTAACAGTTAAATAATCACAACTATTTGGACTACGACCTATATCAGATGTGATAGACACTTTACAATCTAAGTGAAAAAATACACAACGAATATACTGAAGATATTCGATTTGAAATTTAAAAACATCATTTCTAACTGTAGTCTTAGGAAAACCTTGAAAAGCAGGATTATAAGTTTCTTATATATAATGCACAAAAGCAGGGTGAGAAGGAAAAGTAAAAGGTAAGCCACAAACAACCACCATTTTTGCTAAGTTCTCATGATCTCTATCTTTGTTATAGGGGCGTAAAATAGTACCAGAAGCAGGGTCAAGCTGCTGTTGTAAAAAATTAGAACCCCCGCCAGATTCACTAGGAGTGCTAGTACCGGTGCTAGGATCCGGTATTTGTACGGCTTCTATTTTAGCTTGTATCCATAAAGCTTTGTGGTCCCTACCTAAGTGCCTAGATAAACCCCCCGTCCCACCACTTTTGGTGTGCGCAAATCGTTGCTTACATATTTCACATGTAGCACGTTGATTGACTTTATCATGTTTAAAAAATTTCCATACAAGTGATGTTTTGGGACGTTCACCCTTAGGCTTACCCCTTACAGGAGGTACAGGGGGTAAAGCTCCAGATCGAGATTGACTCTGAGTTGGAGCTTGTGTTGCGGGACTAGTGGGTGTTTCATCTAATTCTTCTTCCTCATTTTCTTCATCCTCATTTTCTTCGTCCTCAATAAAAATATCCTTGCCAAATTGTCTTTGTAAAGTTTCATGATCTAGTTGTTCTCCGAAATTAATATTATAACATGCGGGGGGTTGGAAAAATGAAGTTTCATCAACATGAGTCATTTCATCTATATGTTTTCTAATTATAGGAGAAGGGCTAGGATTAGGACTAGGATTAGGATTACTACTACTTTCACCTTTACTACTTTTTTTACTAGTTTTTTTAAATACGCCAAATACATTTTTAGGTGCCATAATTTAAATACGAAATTAAATTTAAAAAGTTAACACAAAAATTAAAAACACAAATGAAATACGAAAATAGAACACGTAAAGTAAACACAAAAATTAAGCACTAAAATAATGCGCAAAAAATATATATTAAAACTAGGAGATGGAACGTGTGCACCTTGATTAAATATTGAAACTTGAAGAAATTGCCCAAAATATTGCTCCAAATACTTGAAGAATTAATTTGAAGCTTGAAAGTTGCTCCAAACATTTGTCCAAATACTTGAAACTTATCACTTGATTGCGAGAAAATTGAGAGAATAATATAGATAGAATGTAAGAGATTTGAGAGAGTGATTTATTTTTGTGGGAAACAATGAAGAAGGATTGGGGTATTTATAATAGAAAATAGGGCCAAAATATAATTTAATAAACTTAGGGATTATATTAGAAGTTTGGAACCGTCAAAACTTCATTCCGAAGTCATCTTCACAAAAGTCAAACTACGATTAACTCTTACGACTTAAACATCCAACTTAGAGACTATGTGTCCCATTTCACTCCGAAACTCACCCGAAACCAAAACCAACTACCCCAGCAAGTTACATAATCACAATATAGCATAGAGGAAGTATAATTTAAGGGATCAAGGCAAAACTAATCAAAACGACCGGTTGGGTCGTTACACATCTATGCGGCTAGTAGTTAAACAAAGGTATTATGGATCATGTTCGACTTTACTACTCAAGTTAAACTTCCAATATATCACGTGGAATACATATGAGCTCGGATTGAGGCCTAAACATTGCTTTAGAAATGGTCTTCCCTTTCAAACAGGTTCTCTATGGACCTGAAACTGTGGTGCCGGACCATTGTAGAGTCCAATTGACTCTAGAGTCTCTCATACATAGGCCCAATGGTTTGTTTTGCAACAAAAGAAAATTCAACTCCTAAAATTCAAAATTGGGAGTCTAAACTACTGGAAATGAAATCAGCAGCACAAAATTGATCATATTACACCACAAATATGGCCGTTTTGAGGGGGGGGGGGGGGGAAA